CACTCCGCGCCGTGACCCTGCAAACGCGCGCCCGTCCCTTCCCCTCGCCTCCGTCGCCATCACCCCGGTACCATTATGTATATTCCCGTTCGTCCCGTCTCGCTCGTTCGCTCGCGCCTATCAACAATCTATATTAAGGACGTGGGAATGTGAAATGGCCTGTCCAGCTATGCCAGCGATGCTATTGGAGTCGCGGTGTGGCCGTGTCGACTGTCTCGACTCTCCGATCCCTCTCCGCGCACATACACACACATACATATAATCACGCACCTAACTCACCTCATCGCCCCGTGTCACGCGTTCGTGCCGTGACCTCGGATTCGTGCACGACGGATGCTGCACGCCGAATTCCGTGCGAGATGTGCCACAACAGGCTTTCTCGCAAAACGTTTACGAGAAATCCGATAATACCGCGGTATCTTTGCTCCTTCTCCCAAAAGTAATTTTCGTCTTTTTCCTCGCGAGTCGTTCACGTTCGTGGGGGTTAATCGTCCCTTTAGGTAATAGCGTGACTATCGCCGCGTTCGGTGCCTATTACGTTTTCGCTTGGCGTGGGACTAAACGTTTAGCGATATTTCATATGACAAGAATGACAGATACATATACATGTATTATATTTTATGAAATCATTATAAAATTGAGATTTGAATGTTAGTGAAACAATAAAATTTTTATCTAACGATACGCAAGCTACGAGATTTATTGTCTTGGTAAGTATTGGCAACATTTGACGTTGAAAAATAGTAATGTTTTATATGTATATAAATAAAAAGTTTAATGCAAAATTTCTATTCATAAAATCGTGAAGCATTAGTGATATCCTACTTTCTCCAAGCTTACGTGGCAATATTAATAAAATCAAAAATAGATTTATCTCTTTGAAATCAAGTTGATATGATATTTAATGTATCAAGCTCATGAAACTGATATATTTAAAAATAATAAAAATCTTCTTATATAAAGACAAATTTAAATGTTATTAGATCGCGAAAAAATATTTCAATCTACGTGTCGCGTTGTCAAAGCGAAAATTATATTTGTCGCGTTACTTAGCTCATCGCGAAAAAATACGTAACGTCACTCGAATAATAGCCGCGCTAAACGCGCACGTAATTCACATTCGCGGAATCGATTCATAGAATCGCGATAAAGGTCCGGCAATACGTTTTCATCGTTCTCGCGGGAAACCGAATTCCTGAAATGCCGATATATAAATCGACACTCGAATCACGCGATTCGAATCGATCGTGCTCCCCATTTGGCAGCATAAAATGCGAAGAAATCTCGTTCTATTCTCCTCACGTGTAGAAAACTATCGCGTTTTTTCCCTCCTAGGAAAATTATCGAGGAAAATTGTCGCCGCTGATCGATTTACCGAATGCCATTCCATGATGACATTCTCATCATCCGGAAAAATATTCTGTTTCTCTAATTCGTTCGAGAATTATTCTTTCTTTCTTATCGTCTCAACAAGATTCTTTTCAATTGTTTCTTTATATTCATACGAATATAAAAGATAAAAGAAAATATTTTGATATTCATATTTCATTTTTATATTCATATATTGAAACCATTTACGTAACCATTATCATGTAATATCGTACATTACAATATTGTACATATCAAAAATAATTTATCAACACATCGTCATTTTATCATGCATTCCGTATGTTTTTTGCTCTATAATTCTCCATTATTTAATTACTTTTAATTTATTAATTATTTATTAAAGTATATCGATCGAGGGATTTAAATTCACGAAGCCGCATTCACTTTCTATAAGTCGTTTCTCATTCCTTTTCACGATCACGGGCGATTCTGATTTCTCCGCGTTGTTTTATGGCGTTACAAATCGGTCTAGGATTCCGGGCGTGCCGATTGATTTGAGATAATCTCAGCTGCTCTCGACGGATTTGTCGCACGCGCCCCTAAATGGCGTACGTTCTCTACCGTTCTGGATCGGTCGTTTGCCGTTGTGTCGTCGACGTTACTATTACCGCTGCAATCGCTATTGCATCGTTGTGTCGTCGTTCGCCAATCTTGGCTGAACCCCGTGTACGACCGGACGAGTAACCGAACTGTGCAAAAACTTGCAAAGCCGAGCCGAACACGCGCACGCACGCACGATGTTACGCAATCTCGCGAATCCCGTTGTCCCCCTTTGTCGGGGGACAACTGTCCGGCTATCCGTACGTAACTGACCGAGTGAGTGTACGACGACCTGCTGCTCGGGGAATCCGGCGACGCAATCGCCATTCGCGAAAGACGGTCATCCGCGACGCTTGAAGAATGTCGCCACTTTTCCCGATTCCGTGGGCGATTCAGAGCCCGATATGGCAGAATCGCATCGCCGGATCAATTACATCGCGCGAACGATTCGAGCGAATAAACCAAGTACGTTGACAAATCGATATGTAAATAAAATGAGCGGAAACTTCGTTGCGTGCAGACGTATCTCTCACGCACGATTTCTCTCGATCGAGGGTGAATTTTTTCGAACAATTGTGCTCTGGTTATAAATTTATGAATTTCTCAACCCTAATCTTCATAAATCCTTAGATAATAGATAGATTTATTGCAAATGCAAAATATCGATCATTATCGTTATCAATATCCTTATCGTTTATCTATTATTAAATAGAAATATATATATATATATATATATATATATATATATATATATATATTTTGTATACTTCTCATCGCGAAATGGCCGGAAAATATCAAATATATGATAATTTTATTTCTGGCTAATAAATAGTCTGAAAGCATCATTTAACAATTATATTGCGATGATGCATATACTTTATAGATGTTTACATAATTGAACGATAAATGCTTGTTTTCCAGATCATCGGAAAGTCCTACGAATTACCTGCGAACATGCGCACGAGTTTGTTCAATAATTCTATAATTCCGGATGATTCAAACGATGACATAAATCCAACAATCATCCGGAAGTCCAACGAATCATCGAATATTACCAACACCGATATGTAGATCGTAAATGTGATCGCCGTAAATACTTCATCGAATGATTCGTTATTCCCAATCGAGACATATCGAATCATTTCGTACCATTACACGCGCGATTTTTTTAGGATTTTGGACTGTTACCAACTCGCCCACGTGGTTCTTCGGTTAGTCCGCGAAATCTGCGTCTCCTTCCGCAGCAGCCTCCGCGATGACACGACACGGTGACTTTTTACGTCTTATCTTCCGCTTCTTATTCCGTAACACGCGCGCGCTAATCGATCGTGACGTAATGATTTAACAATGGGGGGAAACGTGAGAACGCGGATACACGAAGTTGCGTAGATCTCGTAATCTCGAAACAGTTCTAATGTATGCAGTAACTATATTTTAACAAGACACGATCGTAATCACTAAGGAAGTTTCGTACATAAAAGCCAGACCTAAATATATTTGAGGATAAAAATTGGAATAATTATTTGGATAGAATAAATGGAGAAAGTAAACATATTTATCTTCAGATTTAATATTAATGTTGACTTCATTTATGGCGAATTCACTTTATAAACATGAATATTAACATAGATATTTTTTTTATTTTCCTTTTTTATTCTTTTTGCTACTCTTTCATATACGTATAATATATAATATAATATTATACGTATAATATTATTTTCTAAATATTATAATATTTAATAATATAATAATAATTTACTGTAAAGAGATAAAAATATGTATATTTTTGAAAATACATTTATGCGTTGCTATTATATATACTGTTAAAATGTTTAAGTTAAAATTAATTTTGTCTTTGATTACTTTTCATATTTAGAGAAAAAAATTATATATATGTGTATCTTTTAAATTACATATATATATATATATATATATATATATATATAATTTAAAAGATACATATGTGTGTGTGTATCTTTTTTATTATCAGATCGATCAGAAGTTTCCCCAACACTTAAGTAGTGTTGGAAATTTAAGCGAATGGGACGCCTAGTCAATCTATCGATTGTTGATGCTGCGCGCTCGCATTTTTCGACATGTTTCGAAATTTCTGGAGGATGTGAAGCGGCGAAAAATTGCGAGGTCGCGTCGTAAATTAGTACTCGATGACCGTGCGAGCGTCTTTCGAGAAGCAGCGGGGTTTTCTCGAGGCAGTTTTATCGTCGGCCGACAGGCGTTTAACTTTACGAGCGGCCGCGCCACGTATATACTCTATCTCTTCCTCCTCGTCTTTCCGTTCTTTCTCCATTTCTTTACTCCCTTCGTCCTTCGCGTATCCTCCTCGTCATCCTCTCCCTCTCTTTCTTCCTCGCGCGCGCCTTTCTTCTAGGGCGCAGGCATGCTAATTCACGTGACGCGCGTAACATTAAACCCTGACGTTTAATCCGGTAGAAACGCGCGTGGCTTACACGCGGGCACCGGGAGAGAGACCGTCGACCCTTTATATGGTTCGGTCGTATGGAGGTTTCTCGTGGACGTATCTGGTAATATCCGGCGTGAAAGTACGACGCGGTCCTCGATCGTGATAATGCTCTTCGTTTGTCTCGATAATCCGATTAATTTATACGGATGTGCCGCTTCGCGCTGTGCGACTGTGCGATTCCTCGACATGTCAAAGGTCAAAGGTTGGACCGAGAGATCTCGCGCGAAAATTCATAATCAATTGATTATTGTAAGACCATTATAAATGTCCGGTGCGACGATACATTTGTAGATCAATTTAACGAGCATGCATTAATTTCTACAGATGCGTCAGCAAAATATTTTGTTCCTTAATCTCGCTATGTGGTTTTCAGTAGGGTAAATCTGAAAGTATTATCAAAGAATTTTGAATGCGTTACGAAATTGATAATTTAACGTTGTAAATGCAATAATAAATTTGCGATTTTTTGCATAAAGACTTTTTCATGTATAACGCTCCAAAATTTCTAATAAAATGAAAGATATAATTCTGATATAATTTAAATTTTATATAGGCGATTAACAGCAATTATTATAACCTTCTGTTACAGTCATTCTTCGGTCGCACATATAACAACCTGAGTAGTGTGTCAAGCTGTAAAAATGGCGGCAATTGCGAGATTAACAAGAAGAATCGTACATCCTGCAAAGCTTGCCGACTGCGAAAATGCTTATTAGCCGGTATGTCCAAGTCGGGCTCACGCTATGGCCGACGTTCAAATTCGTTTAAGGAGAGCTACGCATTGCAAGAACAAGAGGAGGAAGATAAATCGAGCGACAGATCCCCCACTGTTTCATCTTTCAATTTAAGAAGTTTACCTCCTTTATCTTCCGTCGTTTTTGATGATAAGAATGACGCTGCATCGACTCAGGAAACTCAGGAAAATCATGCCAACAATACCACGAATTTTCACGATAACCAAGTTTATGCGCAAAACTTGCACCTCATGCATCAGCAGCGGCTGTCTATCATATTTTCATTAAGTCAAGTTGCATCATCGTCTTATCAATTGCTCACGGAATCAACGCCAAAAATCATATCCGACAGCGAAACCAGTGACGTGGAGTCTAAGGGCAGTTCGACCCGAGTTTCACCAACATTCATCCACAAAATAGAGGAGCGAACGCTGTCCAACTCGACGCCATTGATAAATGAAAGTTCGATGCTCATGAACGCTCATACTTCTTTAAATTCAACGCCGAGTTTTAACACATGGGATGCATCGGCAAAAGATAACGATTATTCATGGCAACTTAGTCCTGATACTCTTACCGATAAACCGACAGACGAACCGACAGGCGAACCGACAGACAAACCGATAGACCTCAGCATGCGGTCAAGTAGCAGCTCGTCGCAGTTTAATGAGTCATCGGAAAAGAGGAAGAAGAGAAAAAGGGAAGATTGGATAAACGATAGCGACAGCTCATCCGGAATAAATCCCCTCAATTTAACGCTCAATTCTTAAAATCTGATCTGAGATCCAAAAGTCGATTTTAACCTCGTCTAATTTTAAAACAAATAATTTCAAAAAATTCGAGAGAGATGTCAGACAAGAATTTATAAACAATAACGATAAATTTATTGATGAAACGAAAAGAAATTAATAATATACCGATAAAGAGAGATTACTTCCGCGATGGAAAACAACTGATTGCGAGCAAATGTTGGTCGTTTTGATCTGATAGGCATCATCGTGAAAATGTGTTCATTTTGTACAAAAGAATATTTGGAACGAAGATGTACGTATACTAATTATTGATGTATGTTGTACGTATATTAATTATTGATTTAATTTATTTCAGATTAGGTGAGTTATCCATACAACCTTTAAATGAATGTTGTTTCAAACAAAGAATTAAAAATAATAATACTTATAATAATAATTATAGAATCAAAGAATTAAAAATAATAATACTTATAATAATAATACTTATAATAATACTTATAATACTTATAATAATAATTATACAGTTATTATCAAATATTATTATTCATAAATAAATTTATAAAGAATACGGCTTTATGTATTTAACAATGATAATTACGATAATACAATGATTACAATGATACATTATTGAAACGAGCGATAAAAGCCTAAAAACGCGGATGGTATTGAATAAATTTTTTTTTATTTTTTTTTACTTTTTTATTTTTTTTTATTATTATTATTCATATAACTATTATATGTATATATATATAAAACTTTTATGCGAAACTCTTTTTCGTATCTTCTATATATCATCTTCATTTTCGAAATATTTGCTTAGGGTGAGGTTAAAATGAATCACCCTATATAGTGAATCAGAGTGAAATATTTTGGTCAGTATAGTTGCATTCGCCTATTCTTAGTTGTCATGAAAGAAAAGAACTAAAATTTTGAAAAGTACAACAACCTTAAACTAAACTTCGATTTGAATAATCAAATAAATTTCAAATCAAGCTTCATATATTAAAATTTATTAATTCTTATTCATGATGGAGCTAAATTTGAGATCTGTCTGAACATTTGGTTCGAAGTTCGACTTAATAATGCGTATTCTCTTTTATTCAACGCCAAAGTAAAACTGCACTGCATATTTTTAGTCATGTCATGAAATGAGTTCACATGACATGATAGTCTATTTCTAGACAGTTAAGTATGTCTAGTTTAATTTTTTTAGATTGTATTCTTGTCTAAACCTCTAAATTTTTAAATTAGGCTTATACTTATATAATGTATATTTTTTTACATAACACATGTTAGAATTTATACATAATTATATTTATTTGAGTGTGTGTGTAATTATATATTTTTAGGAGATTATAATTAGGATATTCAAAAAATTGTGAAAAAAAACAAGATCCAAAAATTATGGTTATTTTTTTTCATATTGTTGCATAGGTTTCTTATATTCTGCAAAGAATAGGTTAAATCATTTCATAAATTGAGCTGACTGATATATTTGACTCACATGATTGATTTACTATTAATTATAAATCCAAAGATTTTTTAAATATACTTACATACATATAAGTAGAGCATAGATATATTCAAGGTGAATAATTAAATGAAAACATTGAAATCTCTGTTTGTTGTTTTTAAAAATAGGAAAAATTCTTAAAACTTTACTTTTTTTTGATTTTTTTAACGAAATCATGTATTTTTTTTCTCTCTATGTAAATCGATGATAATTATTGCATGTAAAAACAAGCGGTATAAGGTTACGAAAGATTGATATTATTGATGGATAATGTTATTATTTATACTATTTCCAACGCATACACAGGTGTAGCTATGCACTTAAATGTCTGCCTATATGTGCACGCATCTCGTTTGTTATCCTCATGTATTAATGAGGATAACAAACGAGAGACTTGAAACAGTGCGTCGTCATTGCGACCGGTTACTCCAATCAAGCAATAAGCAATCGTTTCAATTCGTCATGACTCTAGGCATGAGTTGAGCAACACTTGTGTACAAGAACAATTTTAACCATTTGTGCGTGCGCGACTCTCTCTCGGCGCGAATAAAATGTCGATAAATAACTCGGTGCAAGTGACTCGATCGCAACAAAAGTGAATTTCCAGAACGGTAGCGACGGCACACTTTTTTTAACACGAGCAAATCTCGAGAAATGAGTACGAAGAATATGTACGAAAAAGTAAAGAGTGATTGAATACTATTTGTTCTATTTGTGTTACGGAAATTCATTTAGTGCGAACAATTTGTAATGTACTATATAATAGTAAATAGAAAAGATTTGTTATTAATTTTAGCTCGATGTAAATATATTAATTATCTGTATTATCTTTAATCGTCTTTATTAAGTAATTTTTTATATAATAGATTTTTATATAATATAGTTAGGTAAAATTTAAGTTAAGAAAAGACGTGACTTTTTTTTAATATTGGACTTTCTTAATAAGGCTTTTATATAGAGAAAAATTTGTGAAAATTCTGTATTTGTATTCACATATGTGTGGTTATTATTATCACGGTACCAAAAAATTCGTTACAAAGAAATCTTATCGAAGTCAATTAGAAATTAAATGCAACTGTATATATATATGTATATATATGTAATAATAACACAGTGTTTTATTTCTTTTAATATTCCAATCTAACGATAAATAGGCAATTCCATAGACTGCTAATGAGGCAGTGAAGTCCGAAGTTGAAGTGTCTTCCTGAGAGAAAAGAATAGCATGAATTTATTTGCGTCTATCTTTTTCTAATCAACGTGCCAGCGTCAGTATGCGTGATTTAATAATCTGAAATTGCATCATGCGTGTGTCAGACAATGACAGACAACTCAAGTAAATTTATGCTATCCTTTTCTGTCAGGAGGACATCCCCTCTTTTTTATAAGCAGTCTATGTTAATATGTCTTTGGACAATCCTATTAATTTCGAATTTCACTAATGTTAGATTTGTATTAATTGTAATAAACGAAATGATACAAGATATTTAAAAAAATAGAATCAAAATATTTCCTAGATTTTTCAAAATTCGATTTTAAATTATCTAATATTATCTAGAAATCATCTATATTCATTATTATAACAGTCATGCGACGCGTCGATTATTTAAAAAAATGTATATTACCTATATAAATAATTAAAAATCGATAGAATAAATCATGAATGAATCATGAAATTTATCGAAATTGGACCGCAGTGGTTTGGACTTTAGTGGAAACACTGGTCGCTTTCTCTTTAAAGCAATTCGCGAAAGATACACGTTCGGCAATCTCCCGAAGCGGTGACAACAAGAGAGGGACGCAACAGATCGTGCGGGCATAATGCGTCAAGTAGAATGCCAATGGCTCTCTTGGGACACGAAAGACGAGATAGCGCGGTGAGCGCGATAGTCGACGACAACTCGCTTCCGCTCTAGACAGCGGCTCCTGGTAAGAAATCGTCGATGATCTCACGCGCGACTTGCCGTTCTGCACGATTTCTCGTTCTTTTTTTCACTTACCCGTTTCCTGATTAAGTAGATTAATAACTCGAAGAGACAACCGTAATGACGCGTTAATTGATTGCGCAAATCGCGGTGTTCACGTAAAACCACCGTCGCGACCGTGAGTAATGAGCCGTGTCACCGCGTAATTATTAATTCCTAGAACTGTTGACGGTTTTACAAAGTGGCTCTATCCATTTCGTTTATAAAAATTTCGCCGGAACCGACGATTCGACGACAGGCACATCGCGCGCGCAGTAAAAAATAGATTTCGTGTGGAATCGTAATCGTGTGCCTGATGTCGACACGTTTCGACGATGAAGCAATATCAATCTTTCGCGGCATTTGAATAACACATTTATATCGTACATATGATGCTTGGCGTAACGGCACATGTATTTCCTTTATACATACGTTCTACTCAAATTAGTTACGAGACTTCGAGAGATGTTATCGTTGCATTTTCATCTGTCCGTTACAGACATGACATAAGAAACATACATACATAATATATATAAGAGCAGAAATACTCATAACTATAACAATAAACCACGCTCGATTAACTGTAAAAACAAACGATTAAGTCTGCGATGATTAAGTCATACTCAGATTAAAGTTACGATCGCATCTGATTAAATATATCTATGCAATGCCTGGTAAGCTTCAGGTTAAATAATTTTCGCATTTGTGCGAATCTCTTTTTCTAAAAATTTCTCAGAAAATTCTATATCTCTTTTTCACAATTCTTATCGTAAAAATATAATAATCATGATAAGAAAAAGAGAGAAAAATTTTTTTTTAATTCGCAAACTCCTCTGACGCGATTAATTTCACGATGTCATAAACAAGTCGAGAGGAAAGCACGTTGTTGAGTGCGACGCGAGGGCTATCGTCGGTACCGATAGACCTCGCTGTGAAGTATATGTACGGCTTATACAGATCCCTGGCGTGCACGTAGAGCGTTAGGGGTTAACGAGGGCCGATCGTGCGATCGGTCGATCTTTCCCAAGAGCCGAAGCGGTCCAATTAGAAGGCACATAAAAGCCGGGCGCATAATCAGCAATTTGTATTGTCGAAGGATAAGAACGAACGCGTGCGCTCGCTCGCTCGCTCGCGAAAAGAAACCTCTCTCGCCCTCATTCCGTCTCTCTCGTTCATTGTTCTCTTCTCTGCACGCCCACCCTCTCTTTTGAAAACCACTTTGCAAAATAACTTCATACACAAGGTGAACAACGTCAAATGAGAGGATGAGAGGTAAAGAGCTACGCGGCGCGTTCGTTGACGGTGTCGGCTCGATGGAATCGAGGGAGGGAGAGACGAGAGGGAGGCCTGGCACCCGATTAAGCTATGCAATCGCCAATTATCGGCAATTTGATCCGGTTATAACTCAATTTAAAGTAATTGGGCCGCGTCGAGCGGCTTCGTTCCTCAAGAGTCTCTCGTCTGTATTAAGACGCCTCACTTATGCACGTGTACGCGTGTACTCGCGTGAGTTTACGTGTGTGCACGTATAACGTACGACATGTACGAGAAGAGGAACGTAAAAGATAAAGAAAGAAAGGGCGAAGAAAGGGTGGAAGAGAAGACGTCCCGAGGAGCAAACGCTATAGCTTGCATTTAAGAGACTCAGCCTGGATGCTTTTAGCGCCCTTCGATGATCGTAAATTACTGATTGGCCGGCATGTACGTGCATGTCGACGTGGAGCGACGATACTGAAATCGTTTCCGCGAATACACTTGATGAACGTACATACACGAGTA